GGGGAAAAAAAAAGGCAAAAAAAAAAAAAGCACCGTGCATAAGGTTCAGTATATACTAATAAATGCCAGAAGTATCCCTTAACTGTACAGTGGTTCATTTGTGTAAGCTGTTGTATTTATTTACTGTCATAACTAGTAACTATGGGAATATTTAACTTCCCATATTACAGTTGAGTCTCAGAAGAGTTGGTGGATGGATTTTTATTTTATTATTTATTTATTTTCTTCTTTTAAGAAATGAGGAAGTGGAAAAGACCAAACATCTAAGTGGTCTTGGGGCTGCATGTAGATTAGTAGCAGGATGCAGGATTTTGTGGACTAAAATTAGTCTAGAATATCTGGAGTAGTAATCTCAGTCGTTTGATGTTTATCTTAATTTTGCAGTTCTAGCTGAGGATTAGTGTGGTGCCCATGTCCAGCAGAATACTGTCAGGGAGTCTTTTCCTTAGTGCCTATGAATTAATTTACAAATAAGATACCTATACTGGGTATAAGGCCACAGCTTTGTCAAACAATCTTGATGTCTGAGTGCCTGTGGAGCAATGCAGATGGTAGAGCTGACAGCAATGTACTGAAGACCTATGGACAAGTTATTGTCTTTTGTGGAGGGTGAACTCTTGACAGCTTTCTAGAAGACCTAAAAAGTATCCTGATTTTTCACTCATCTTTTCAAAATAATAAATAAGCTTTTCCATTATTCTCCTTGACAATTTTACAGCTATTACAGAATTTTATCCCTGAATTCCTGGCGGTGTTATCTTGAGAGAAGTAGGGTTAGGAAAGAGTTGATGATCTCAAAGTCCAGCTTCAGAAACTTGATGCAAGTGTTGATAGTATAAAATCCCATCAATGGGCAAGCCTCTGGACTGTCTTAAATAGTACTTGCATTTCTCACTTGTTGCACTGGAGAAGAAAACATGGAAAGGATGACTGCTTTATGCTGGGCTTGTCTTTCCTTTGGATTATGATAATTTTTTTCGTGACTGCTCTTAAAGTAGGTGGGAAGTGGCTGAATGAATTCCAAAATATATGCAAGTGAAGATAAAACTGACTAGAGAATTGTTTGTGGCTGTTAGTGTTTTTATGTAAGCTACCTGTTCCTTTGTTTAGCTCTTTAATTGCAATGGAGATAGCCTGTAGAAATGCTTTTTTTTTTTCTTAGTTTGCATGACAAAAATCCTAACTTTATTAATAAAGTCTTGAGGGATGTCATAGCTTCTGTAAAAGGTTAAATTTAGTTAATCTTGCTTGATATTTCTGATCAACCATATGAAAGTAGCTAAGGCAGTGGGAAGACTTTAGATTTCTTTTAAAGTAGCTGCTTTTTATATAGTATTATCAAAACATGCATGTCCTTTTTTCATATGCTTACATCTCTTGCTGTGCCCAAGCCATTAGAATAGCTAGCCAGAGATGCTCTTTTGCTTTCACATTGCCTTTTTAAGAGTTAAGTAACCTTTTGATTATTTTTATGTAGGAATTCTACTTCTCAATGTTTTCTTCTCCAAATGCCTCTTCTGGATAAACAAACCTCTGTTACTAGTAGTTCACAGAAATTGTGCGTATGGATTCACTGCAGGGAAGTGGAGTTCCAGCCTCCAGGTGCCTTGGTGCAGCTCGATCGCTTCTCCCTGTTTCCCCCATAGAAGCAGGTACCAAAGCAGGAGGAGCCCAAGGAGAGTTCTCCACTTACCAACAACTTCCTTACATGTGCTCTGTTTTTAATGTCTCTTTTTTAAGCAGAGGAGCACTGCAAGAAGCATCCAAGGTCTCTTGGTGCCCATGCTGCAGGCATGCTGCTGTCTTAGTTGGATTCAGGCTGACTTCTGCAGGCTCATAGGGTTGGGTCTGAGTCGCCCTTCTCCAGCAGAGATGTCGGGGAGCCTGCTGCCTCAGCCCTGAACTATTTCTGTGTGTTTGCGTGGCCCTTGGGAGCCTGAGGAGATGGGCACAGCTGGGGGGATGCTGAGCTAGAGCTGCCCAACTCTGCTGGACCCAGGTCGATTCCTAGCAGAGAGGCTGAGCTGCGGGTGTATAGTGCCAGTCCTTCCTGCATAGTGCCTATACTGTCTCTGGTTTTCCATTATTATATATGTTACCTTGGCACATGCTACCCAAAGTAATAGAAGGGTACATATACTAGGTTGTGCAGATCCTTCAGCAAGTCTTTTTTTCAGGTGGAAATTTCCTGAAGAGGGCTCAGGAGGTAGTTAAGAAGCTGGGATATTCTTAATGTTTTTTTTAATAACTTGCTGAAGTGTAAATGCTCTTTCAGAGGCCTTGTAGAGGTTTATATAGTGGATTTTAGACTGCTTGTTAATGAGCTTTTCTTAGTTATCTGAGCAGATTCCATAAAAAGGCTGTGGAATATCTCTCAAAACCCCTCTGTCTTAAGGACTGCAAGGAGAAGCAGTGGTAGGGAAGATAGGCTCTACTCATAGAGTGTTTGAAGAAAAATGTACAGAAAAGCTGCAACATACTTTAGTTTCACAGTGACTTAGAACTAAGCTATATACAAACTGGACTTTCACTCTTGATTGGTATTTTAATTTGTTAATATGTTTGTGTCCTGGTTTTGGCTGGGATAGAGTTAATTTTCTTTCTAGTAGCTGGTATAGTGTTATGTTTTGGATTTAGTACCAGAACGTTGATAACACACTGATGTTTTCAGTTGTTGCTAAGTAGTGTTGAGACTAAGTCAAAGATTTTTCAGCTTCTCCTGCCCAGCCAGCAAGAAGGCTGGAGGGGCACAAGAAGTTGGGAGGGGACACAGCCAGGGCAGCTGACCCAAAGTGGCCAAAGGGGTTTTCCGTACCGTGTGACGTCATGCCCACTATATAAACTGGGGGGAGTTGGCCTGAGGGGGTCACTGCTTGGGAACTAACTGGGCATTGGTCAGCAAGTGGTGAGCAATTGCATTGTGCATCACTTATTTTGTATATTCCAGTTCTTTTATTAGTATTGTCATTTTATTATTATTATCATCATTATTAGTTTCTTCCTTTCTGTTCCATTAAGCTGTCCTTATCTCAACCCATGAGTTTTACTTCTTTTTTCCCCAATTCTCTCATCCCACTGGGTGGGGGGGAGTAAGTGAGAGTGACTGTGTGGTGCTTAGTTGCTGGCTGGGGTTAAACCATGACAATGACAGATCTTTGAGGCTGATGTCAGTCACTTGAAATGTTAGAGATTAAATTATTACTCTTTTTCAAGTCAGAAAGACAATGTCACTTAGGGTTGCTTCTGTAGTTCCATAATCCAGGAAGGCCATTTCAGTAAGGTGCAACTTGATTGTGTCCTTAAGACGCAATTACTGCTGTGAAAAGCACTTTCAGCAAGAGCAAGATGGGTACTTGCTCCTGTTCTTCACGTGTCTCACTATATGGACTCGGTGTTAAAGAAAGCATTGAGGGAGCGTGGGGTACTCTGTACGTGGAGTTGGTTTGCTGTTCTGCTGACCACCTTCACTTGTAAATGTGTGCCTGGCTTTTGGGATCAGTAAGTCCAACAGGACTGCTTGTTGTGCTGGGATTTAAGCACAAGCTTAACAGAATTGGGGCTGAAGTAATACTACATACCTTGTGGAGCCTTGGAGTGAAGCATGGTTTATCTTGACCACAAGCACAACAAACAAAAGTGTCAGAATCATGCAGATGTTTTGAAATTCATTAACAAAGTAGCTTCTAAATAATAACTACATTCTACCAAACTTAAAGTAATTATTCAGAGCTTTTCTTCTCACACTTTGCTTTTAAGTAGAAATACATCAGATACCCACAACTAAAAATTAATTTCCAAAATAGAGTTTTACTTTTATGGGGGATACGTAGAATCAAAAAGTGTAGCTTTTTTTCTCAAGCTCTTGTCAGTATGCTTGCTGTATTCTAAATACATCTGAGGTATATGGTGATTTCGTTGCAAAACAATTCAGTCTGTTTTCAGAGCAGCACTTTAATTGTTGGGCCTCAGGTTATGATTTTAAATCTATGCTGCACTGTTTTATGTTCAGTTTATCATTTATAATGTTTAGAAGACTTTGTAGGACAAATGCTGGGAAAAAAGAAGGCATCAAATAGGCACAGTAAAATTGTGAACTGTCCCTTCAAATTGGTTACTTCAGTTTTGGGTGAATATTGTACCTCCAATTAAGTAATTACTGATAAGAAGATGAGAAAATACATTGTTCTTTCTGCTAGTGCTGTGTTAACACTGTCATGCCTTCTCTGGCTTCTGACATTGAGGTTTGCAAGGCTTTTTGGATATGGAGAGTATTTGCCCTAATAATGGGAGTGTACTCTTTTTATTGGGATAGTGTGGGAATATTATTATTTGATGTAGGGACTGACTGCTGGTATTTTCTGTTTGGTCATAACCCCACAGCACAAAAGGAATACCTGGATTCAGAGATAGGCTTGGTTAAAACCCAGTTCTGTCAACTGGGGGGGGAGCTCGGCAGGCTAAGCCAAGCTAGGTTCTCTTGCTGGCTTCCCTTCTGTGAATCCCCTTCTGAAACCACGGTGAACTCTCTTCTGGATGCCTCACTGCCTCCTTAAGGTGATGAGGGCCCCAGACCAAATGTGAAATACGTGTATTGTTGCTGCAGTTATTCTTGGAACAAGTGAAAATGACCATTAGGTTTCCTTGACAACCTATAACTTTCTTTTGAAGTGATGTCAAGAAAACAAACATGTTCTTGAATGAGGTACAAGTCTCACAGCTGAGTCCAAGGGCTATGAAGGGAAGGGGCTTTTAACCCCTGCCTTGTCGCAGCTTGGTATGAAGGTTCACGTTTGCCCTGTGCTACAGAAGGGGCGGTAACTGAAAGGAGTATGTCTGACATGGTGGTAGTGATGGCTTTGCAAAGAGTGTTAGCCACCTATAGTCTTCCTCAAATTTTTCTTTGGGCTGAAAGGTTATGTGGAAGTTTGGGGGGAAAAAAAAAATCTCTAGCCCTCAGTTACCTTTGGTTAATACTAACTTTTAAAAATATTTTCCAGGATAGGAAGCTTGAGAGAGAATTCACACTGGATGAAAATAATTTTCTGAAGCTGGGTATATTCCAGGAACTGTAACCCAAATGTTTCTCTGTCCGTGGAGAAGATTTCACATTTGAAATAACTTCTACTGAAGGTATGCACATCTACCTTTCCTTTTTAAGCTCAGCAATGACAACATGCTTTATAATGCTATATTATGTGTTCTGATGTTCGCTAGTGAGATTGTTCTTGATATTTGACACCTGGAGTCATTTGAGAGGGAACTGTAGTGTCACTGGGATGGTCCTGCTGATGAGATTCAGAGCAGGTTACATACAACTGAGAAGCTCAGTTCTTCTGCTGTTGAGTGTGCAGTCTAGTCATGGTATGTTGGTCAGGTTACTCCCCAAACCCAGGTCTAACTGGTAAGTGTTTCTCCAAAGTTACGCTCTAATTTAATGTATATAATTGATGGGAGGAAGATGGAACTTCTTTTTGTCTTTCTGATGGCTATCTATACTTCTGGGAACTGCTTGTGGCTGTTCCAGGAAGTAACAATATGGAAATGACACATCATACATTTTGTCATTGGGGTAGTGAAAGTGAATAGGCTGTGATTACTCACAGGTTTTCCTAAGGTGAGAAATTGGAAGCATCCAACAAAGTTATCAAGCAGGCAGTTTAAAGCAAACAAGAGGAACTGCCCTTTCACGCAGCATGTAATCACATTGGGGATTCACTGCCTTAGGATTATTTGGAGATGGACTGGCTGCTTGTGGGAGCACTGCAATCCTTCCTGGTGCCAGCAGTGGAGATGGCTGACGTGGTTGTTTTCCTGTTGGTAATTCAGTTAGGAAGAGCTTTCTCAATGCTACAAAGGCAAGAGTTTTTACATAAAGCAAGGTTTCCCAGCGGGAACAGGTTGTGAATTAAAGGCATTCTTAAAACTCCTAAAAGAAGGAGGAGACCCTAAGTTTTGTTGCAGAAAAGTGCAGGTTTTAGATAAGCTGTAAATAAAGATGCTACTGCTGATGGAGCTGATTATATTTATGTTGCATGTCAGACCTGATGGCTTGAAACTGGTGAAAATTGAGTGTAGATTCAGCCTAGATAGAAGGAAGAAATTTTGTATGATGAGGGTAGTGAGACACTGGCACAGGTTGTCCAGAGAGGTGGTCGATGCTCCATCCCTGGAAACATTCATGGTCAGGTTGGACGGGGCTCTGAACAACCTGATCTAGTTGAAGCTGTCCCTGCTCATTGCAAGGGGGTTGGACTAGATGACCTTTAAAGGTCCCTTCCAAACCAAACCATTCCGTGGCTCTATGAAAATTGTTCTGGAAGCCATTTGGGAACTAGAGCATGTGGATGGTACCCAGACATTTGTAGTCATCTATGCCAGTGAGATATATAGAAAAAAAAATAGAAGTCGGAAATAACAATGTAGCCCAGTCTGGCAAATTACAGGTCCAGCTGGCTCAGGACCCTCTGATACCTGCTCCTGCTAATGGTGTACTTGGGAGAAGTTCAGAACAGGTATAAATGTAGGGTAGGCACTCCCACTTTCTGCCACTCACCCAGGTTAGTGTCTTTTCTGAAACAGCAGTGGCTGTAAAATATTTGAGGGTCATTCATAAACCTGTTTTTTTATGAACTGGTGTAACCAGCTGAGTTTTTGAGCTCAGTTGAGCTTTTGTACTCCATAACCATCTATGACAGCAAGTTCCACAGGGTTTCTTCTTCCCATGCAGAACGTTAGTGTTTCATTCTGCCTGCTGGTCGCTTGATAACTTTGTGAGGTGTGCCCATTCTTGGGTTTATAGGAAGCTGTAAATCACATTCTATTCACCTCCTTAATACCATTCATGCCTTTCTCTGTATCTGTTGTTTTTCTGAGCTGTAGTCATGTATCAAGTCAAGTTTAATGCATCTTCCATTAGAAGCTGTGCTGTTTCACGTTCCACTCAATCTCTTTTAAGGGAAGCTAATCAGACCAGCTGTACTTGTTTGAGCTCTACTATCTCTTCTGAGAGAAGCTAACCAGACCAGCACTCGATGCAAACACATGATAGTCAAATGATGTCATGCCTTCTGTTTACTTGCTTATTCTTTCTTATAATGACTTTTGACATTACTTTTACCTCTTTGGCTGCTGATCTCTATTGAGATCCTTGAACAGTGGCTCCAAGATCATTTCCAAATAGATATAACAAAGAGGATCTGTTCTATTTGTATGTTAAAATGTCATGTTTCTTCAAAAGGATTGCCATGCATCACAAAGGAGGGCTGCTTGTTTGCTTTGTCCTGGCTGTGGCACTCAGGTCAGGCAAAGCCATCTGGAAGGAGGGGAAATAGCTCCTTCCTGGGATCATCTGAGCATACTTGGGGGAAGAATTTCCCAGAATATGGGATGGGGCAGGCAGAAGAGCGCGAGTGTGTGAAAGTTCAGCAGGAAAGAAACTTGCGGCACAGGAGAGCGTGGGATACATCTCGGATGAGCAAGGGGCAGATGGACAGCCTGGCTTCAGAACTGGTGGAGAGCGAGAGACTTCCTGAGGATCCAGAGGACACTGCAGACATTGACTGGTCACAGAATGCTCCTGGATTAGACTGAACCAAGCCCAGAGGAAAGGATTTGCCAGTCAGGACATAGTGGACAGGGACAAATTGCTTATCCCCTGCTTGTCCTGTTTTCAAAAAGACAAATTCGCCTGAAGTGATGCAATTGCTGCTCAAATACCTGTTGGTGATGTTTATAAACCCTACAAGTATTTGTTTTCTTAGTGTGCCCAGAATAAAGATTTGGGCACTTTTGTCTGGAAGCACTGGATGGCCACAGGTCCCCGATCAGAGTGATGTTAACTGACTTAGTGGTTGTTGTTCAGTGGTGGGTTTTCTCCTATGACTAGTACTTACTTTTGTAAGCACCAAGTTAAATCTGCCATTTCATTGTCTCGTTGCTTATTAACATGAAATCATTCTGCGGCTGTTTGTGACAGCTTTGGTAGGTTTAAGCTAAATAATTTTTCTGTCGCTAGTAAATGTTTCCACCTTGCTATTCATCTTTCTTCTGAGATCACTTATAAATACATTGAGCACCACTGTTTCTTTTGGGACCCTACTTGCTGCCTTTTTCTATTTTTTTTTTTTTTTTTTAAATTTGCTTTTGATTTATTTCTTATGTTTTAAGCAGCTGCTGATTCACAAAAGAAAGTGAGCTTTTCTTTAAAGTTGTTTGGAGAAGCCCATGCAAAATACTTCTGTGGGAATTCAGATAAACTATCGATTGTACTGTCCTTGTCCATCTGTATGTTTTTGTTGTGGATTTTTTAAATTGTGTAACAGTTTGCTTAAAAAGCTAGTTTTAGGCTTCAAGTTCACCAGGTTAAATAAAGTGATACTTTATGCCCTGCAATTAGTTGTTCGGTAGCTGCTTTTTAAAGGTGTAGAGCTTTTGGGTGAATGCTGTCTAGTCCTGGTGATCTATTACCATCTGACTTGCAGGTGTGTTCTAAAACTTTCTCAGATACTGCAATTTCAAAGAGTTATCTAGGGATTTTTTTTTCTTTTTCTCTGTGTAGCAAAGCATAAAATTATTTATGCTTATAGAGGAAATAAAGGAGATTTTGTACTAAAACTTAGAAAAAAAAAATGCATAAGATAACCTCAAAATTCACATCAGGAATCCATGCCTGTTGAGACTAAAGAGGCAGATTGAATTAAATGGGACTTAGGAAGACTCTTCAGCTGTGATATAGCTGCTGAAGTTATGTTTGTCCTTTGTATTTTTACAACAGAAAGGATGTTACGGGAAAGAAGTATTCAAAAATACTTTCTTTTTGGAAACAAGTAGGATAATGTACTTCTCTCAGCATTTCCATGTGTTTCCACTTAGTAACTAAGTGGAAAATGTTAAATGTTTCATTTTATCAGGAATCGGCTTAAATAGGCTTAAATAAAAGAATCAGTAAATCTTGGTAATTTCCTCCTGGTTTCCAGAAGGAGTCGCCTGTGGTGATTGCTGGCCATCCGTGTTCATTTTTACTGGTCTTGGAGTACTGAGAACATTCTAAAAGGTTGGAAAATGCTGTGGACTTTTTGTATGTGTGCCCATATTCAGTAAGGCTCAGGGTAGCCTTTGGTAACTACAGAACTGACTACAGTAATAATCCAGGGCAAAATAATGCAAATATAGAATTCAGATAATAGAGTAACACAAAAATTCACCCAAAGTTTTAGGGGAAGTAGGAGATGCAGTGTAACTTTTTTTTTTTTAATGGCAGCCAAAGCAGCATTGCAAGATGCTATAAGTTTTGTGATATGTAGAACTACTAGTTTTTCAGTTGGTGAATTTTAGTCACCTATTATTTTTGCAGACTCCACCTGATGTTTTCTAGACAAGGTAGAGGCCTTTGTACCAAACTTAATGGTACTCACGTGAAGCGTCTAAAAAGACAGCCCTCTGCTTCCCCCCAACAGAATTGTTAAATAAAATGCAGGCCACAAAGTGAAAATCACTGATAAGTGGAAGGATGAGATGAAGTGAGACAAAAGGGGTTGTATGAAACAGTCATTACAGGCCTTGCAGAGGAGCAAGGAGACTTTTGGCATTCTACTCCTATAAGGAATAAGATGAAAAGTAGCAATTACTTTGAAACATACATGGTAAGAGGAGATTTTTTTTTTTAATGTTTATGTTGTTAATCATCTACCCCAGGACCAGTATGCAGCCAGGGATTGCCTTGTGTGTTCTTCTGGTTCTTGACTAAAGCTTCTGCATACCTTCTAAATATTAAAAAATTCCTGCAGTGTATTGTTGGCAAATAGCAGGTGTTTGAATGACAGTTTAATTGTACATGTATCAAATTTAAAATGCTCTCCATAAAGCAGTTAATCTTCAAAAATGGCAGCATATAGTTATAGAAAATGTCTTACCTTAAATCATGATGGTTTTCCCTTTAATTAGATAACTCCGGAGAGAATATAAGCAACTTTGAAGGGCTTTGAGATGTCTGCCTGAAAAAGCAAAAGATGTTTCTAGTTTTACTGTTGATGACCTAAGCTAAAGTACTAACACCTGAGATGTGGCAGACATCAGGAGAAAGGTACTTTTTGTTGATATGAGTTGGGCCTCATCTGGATTAGAACCTGAGTGTACCAGTACTTCAGTGAAGTAGTACCAGTTTCTAATACATACAGTTAATTAATTTTAATAATAAAAGGGAAAGGTTGTGATATTTAACTTGTTTGAAAAAATGTAGGAAATATTTAATTTCCATGTTCCTGTACAGAATTACAAGACAAACCAGGCCTCCTCAGAATTGTGCATATTATGTTTCTTACCCACAAAATATGAGGAGGATGAAGGGATGTGTTATTGATTTGAACACACTGAAGAGAGCAAACCTTGCTGTGACAAAACTCTTCTTCCCTGGCTCACACAGGTGAGCGCTGTTATAGACAAAGTTTAAAAATGAGTTTACAAAAAGTTTGCAACAATTAATACACTTGCTGTTTAAAAATATCAAACAAGGAGCACCTTTTGCCACCTCTGTTTTATTCAGTTTTTTCTCTTGTTCTCAGTCTGCTTAGTAGCCTAATGTGTTTTTCACACACCCCCCTCCCCCCACTGCATAGAGCGGGGATGGTCCCTCCTCCCTGTGTGTCTGGACAGTACCTGACTTCCTTAAAATGTGTTCATTATCATAAATGAAAAGAAATCGATCTTCAAAATGTTCTGAACCTGACATGTTTCTTCCTGTGAATTGCAATATGAAATTTGTCCTTTCTTTTTTTTCTTTTTTTTTTTTAACGGCATGATTTTTCAGACCTTCCTGCTGGTGGCAGCCTTCAGTGAAATGGCTTGTTCCTTCAATGTGATAGAGCACACCTAGCTCTCAAAAAGTCTTAAGTTTCGCAACTCCAAGCAAGAACAGAAGAAAGCTAGCAAATTGGAGGACTAAGCTGTGAATTTTATTTTGACACCAAAGATGATTGTCATAGCAGAGCAGAGCACAATGATAAGTTGTAGGACTGTTTCTCCCTACTGCTTGTTTTGCAGTTTGTAGCTTGCTCCTGCCAAGACCAGGTTGTCAGACCCTCCTTTCTTGCTCTGTAGCTGTCTTTCAATAAGACTCTACAAAGTGGTACTCTGTGGTATTACAGCATTAAAGATGTAGAGAACAGTGAAAGTGCTATTTATGCATAAAGATTGAAAATATACCTGGCTTATTTTGAGTGTAAATCAGATCTCAAGGAAGCTGTTCAGTAAACTTGTTGCCCAGATAGAATTACCTGTCAACTGTACCAATGTGATTGAATTAACTGCTTGAAAATAAGCAGCTTGGATCTTTTATTTTACATCTATAAAAAACCTGAATCAAAAGCTAAGTGTGAACAAGAGTGATTCTTTGATGTAATTTGGAGACAATTGGAAAGTGTTAAAAGGTCAGTACTGGGAATTGTTTCACAGCTGATCAAAGCACTTGGGAAAATTAAAGCCTTGAGTCCCTTACAAACCAGTATGAACAGCATGGCTTAGCTGATTGGGAGGCAGAATTGCTCGATGGCCTTCTGTCAGCTCCTTCCACATTACTCTGATCTGTACTTCCATAAAGATGTCTAATCCCCACAGACTGAGCAGTTGGTATAAAACCCAGCTGGGCTTCCGAGCCTGGAGAGCAGTCCCGACTCCTGCTGGAACTGGAACAGGGAGATCTCTAGCATCTGCATTTGCTAGAGGTAAGCGGTGTATGTTGTCTCTTGCTGCCTTTTCCACTGCTGAAGAAAAGTTGCAGACTGGACAAGTGTCATTATAGCAGTTATAATGAGTACATTTAATTTTTTTCCCCAAATAAAAGAGCTAGAAACAGCTTTAAAAGAAAAATAGCAGGAGTTATCTTGAGCGGCAAGAATGTGAACCTTGACCCTAACATGTTTATCCTCATGTTCTCATATTCTGATTTAGCTCTTTTTTACTTGTTGTTTAAGGAAGGAAAGTGAAACTTGAGAAGCTGTGTAACAGGGATTGTTTTGAATGTCTACATGGCTGTAAGCAGCCTTTTGGTATCTCAGACAAACTCTGCCTCGGCTACAAATAAAGCCAGGCTGGTGGTGGGGGATAACAGCTTGGTGAAGAAATACCCAGTTATGGAAAGCTTATTTTAAGCTGTTGACAGCTGTTAATCTCTGTAACATCCTTGTGCAGCTCAGGGCTTCCTCAGTTTTACAAAATTGAAAACTTAAGTATGGGTTGAATAAGTGAACCATGGTAGATGGCAGGAATGATCTTTTTGTGGTATGAGGTTAGGTGAAAGAATGACAGCTATATAGTTGAATATGGTTAGTAAAATGAGAAAATTCAAATTCATTTTGAATGGTAACTATTTAGTTATGGTCCAACAAGCACTTAGGTCTCTATTCTCTTCCTTGAGTTTATCCAAGGAACTTACACATCATCTCATAAGAAAAAGTTATCATTTTTGCCAAATGCTCCTTTTTGTTTGCACTTTCTTGTTTTTTAAATAAGTTTTATAAAGATACTATTTTAGTGTAGAGATCAGATTAAAACAAAGACTGAGACTTAATTTTTAACTTCTTATATATAAAAAAGCTGTATTGTAGCTTTCCAATTTCACAATTCCTAAAAACTGACCTTACAGAGCAGCTTTCTCAATTCATCTGCTCTATACAGCTTGAAGTTTTTAACTTATCCTACTCCTTAACTTATACAATCCTCATGTATTTCTTAAACAATTTTAACTTAAAGTGGTGATTTTAATGCACACAATGTAATTGCTGTAGGCAGATAAAACTGTTTACTCCACTTTAGCCTTGTGATCAACATTGTCTTTATACTTTTACTTTACTCCCTTCTTCTGCTTTTAATAGATTATTAGTTTTTCAGAATTGACTGGTGTTGCTTGAATAGTTTGTATTCCACTATGTGTCTGTGAGAGATGGTATGGAGAAAGTGAATGTGAGGCAGTTATGTTTTATAACTCAGCATGGGTGGGAGGAGGAATGGTACGCAGTGAATTCAAAACAGCTGGTTTAAAAAGTACTTTTCCAAACAGTTTGAAACTTTGGTACAGTTTAAGGTCAGAGAACACTTCTGATTGCAAGCCCAAATGGCTTTAAAAAGATTAGGCATATTCATAGGATGTATTCACTGATAATTATCAAACATGAGACTTCATTGAGACTTCATGAGACTTTCTGTGACAAAATGATGACAGAAGGCTGAGGCAGTTTACCGGGAAAAGATCACTCTTGCCTTGCCTTCCAGCATTGAGGTCCTGTACTTCTGGGAGGGGGCTGTTGCCATTGAAGACTGACACAATGTATTGCTTCCTGTGTCAATAAGGCATCTCAATGCTCTTTGAGGCCTGCTTTTTCTGAGAAGATCCAAGAAATTAAGAAATCCCGACCAAAGGAGTTACTGTATTTAAAGAAAATAATAACAGCCTCTTCATTTACAGAAGGGAGAGATTGTCATTAGCCAGAAGCTGATGTTGGAAGCTAAAGCTTGAGCTCTGTTTGGCTTCTTTCCTACTGAGTTAATAAACGCTTTCCTTTCCTTCTCAGTCCTATATGGGGCGTAGGAAAAAACAAAAATGCATCCAGTGTGCCTGGAAACCTAAGCCTTCCTTTCTGGAGTAAGTTGATGCAAAGTATTAGTAGTTTCAAACTAGGGTAGCAAACACTTTGCAGAAGGATAGTTGGGGAACTGACAGTACTTTAAGATGCTTTCAGCACTGAAGATGCACTCTTGAAGCAGTATCAAGGATTAAATCAAAAGTCCACCCTAAACTTTTATATAAATGACAACTTGGGGGGGAGGGGGGCGGGGAATGGGCATTCTTCATTTAAGAAACTTTTCCCTCTTCAGAATGGAAAGCTCTTTCAAGATGAAAACTGTTGTACTTCTGTTAGTGTCAGAATAGGCTATGTCATCATCTAGATCTAAGGAAAAGCAGTTTGTTGAAATACAAGTTTGAAGGATTTTGTTCCTATTGAAGATACTTAGAAAAAACAATTCCTGACTATGTTCTCATCCTTTTAGCACTTTAGGTTAGGCTGCTGCTTCTAACACTCCTGATTTGGCCTTGTTACTTATTGTTATATCCCTGAAACTCCCAGCACATTGGAGTCTCATTGTAGTATACTCTAATGTTTTTCTGGACATAGAATAAATAACCATAGATCCTAAGAAGGCTTAATGAAGGGCAGTAGTATCTGTTATGTGACTGTAAATTAGTTGGTATATGTTTATCTAGCAGACTTTTATAAACTTTAGAGAAGTGTTTCTCCATACTGCTTTCTGATGTGTCTTAGTGTTCAGTCTGTATCTCCTGACTTTTCTGGGTTTTGTGGAAGGTATCACTCAATCATTGCTTGAGACCTGAAGCCCAAGTCATCTTCACTTAGAGATGACGGTCAAATAGTTCAGCAGTTACAGTCAAAGAGTGAAAGAAGTAGGATGGCCTGATGGTGACAGAAATTCAGTGTCTGATGTTGACGAAGCAGTTAACCTGTTCCTGTCTGTTTTGTCAACTATTACTTGTGCCAGGAAGGTGTATGGGAGGTTAGTGATTATCAGGGAAAGAAGGCAGGAGAAATCACGCAACTGTATGGATACACTATATTGCTTTTCTGATCAGAAATGTCAATAACGGATCTTGTTAGAATCTGCTAGAGCTGTGTGCAATCAAAAGGTTAATAAATTTTGGGTCCTCTTAGCAGACTTTAATGCTTCTTAGTGGTTTTGTATCTGGATAACTGAAATTCTCCATCAGATGACACTGCATCAGTAAGGCATAAAGCCAAGAGTCAAAGTTGTGAAAAAGTGTGTTTTTCTTTGGAGAAGAGAGGCATTCATCAGGTTTCTACAGATGTACCTATTAAACCAAGTGCACCTGGCTAAACTGGTCTTTCAAATCTTTGAGTGCTGCAGCGCACTAAAAGATGCTGCAGAAGCATGGGAAGAAAGCTCAAATTCCTGCTGACGGAGGGACGGCTAGTTGTGCTTACTGCCTTTGTAGGGATCCCTCCTCTTTGCTGCTGTACAGCTATAGGTGGCTTGGATGTGGTAGCTTGTTGGATCTTGAACATGGTCATGATACTCTTCTTGTTGGTGGGTTTTGGGGGATGCCAAGAGGCCATTGAGGTCCTACTATTCTGAGGACTGGAACCTCCTTGACAAGAATGAAGGAATGAATTCAGAAAGCAGTTCACACTTCAAGGACATACAGACCAAGCTGAGCTCTGTAAGAAGATTCAGCAATTCTGCAGGAGGAAACAATGCAGACCACAAAAATACTCAGAATAGATAGGATGTTCCTTTTTCTGCTCTGACCAGCAAGTAGTGCTTTAGCTGTTGGGGAAGAGGCACAGGCTCTGGAGAGGGCCTCTTCTGCTTTTGTCCACATTCAGTTACAACTGCACACTGTCAGCTTTGATAGTGACCGAGTTGCTTGTGGTGAACAGAGTATGGTTCGTTTCCTAACCTCTTATTACTGACTTCCCTGCATGGGTCTGTTTGATGCTACCATTTCCAAAACCAGCTTTTGCAGTAGGGAGTAAAATGTGCCTTTCAGCTTTAGAGAGCCCTCCCATTCATGCTGGGTGAAAAGGCCCGAGAGAGTCCTGCTTTGTTAGATTGTTCAGAAATTGCGTTAACCACCCCTACCAGAGCCTAAAACTAGAGAACAGAGCTCTGTTTAATGCTTAATGATTGGAAATGTTTAAAGTTGGCAGTTAAGACCACAAAGAAGTGGATGCTTTGTCCTGGAAATCTGAATTTTTTTAATTTTTTTTTTTTCCATCAGATGCCTAAGATGCCCTGATTTGATTTAATTTCCTGTTTGTTTTTTTTTTCTTTATTGGGGTGTGCAATGCCACAAATTGCTAGAGAAAGTAGGATACTCTTTCATGTTGCTGTTTCTTCATCTACCTCTTCTGCTGTGCAGTTACCTTGTATTCCTTAACTTTATTAGTGACTTCTAGTGTTTAATATTTTAGTATTTAGAGGTTCCTCAAGTTTGTGTAGGTGTCTTTAAAGACAGCATAAGCAGGAAACAGTGTTCAGTATTTGTAAGTCATGTATCACAAGAAGAAATTGTATTTACCATTTATTGGGCTCATAATACGCAGCAACTCTCTAGCTGTTTTCAGTTTCTCTTAGCCCATTTCCTGTTATTTAGTAGGTGTTTTTTCTTACCAATGTTTTGGAAGGAGGTGAAGTGCACTTTTTAAGTTACAGAAAGAAGGTAGATTTATATCCTAATGCCAAAAGAAAGGGCTTCCTCATTCTGGGCTCCTGGCTCTACAAGGCAATACCATCATTTCAGTAGGTGGATTATTCTGGTTTCTGTTTATTGTGGTAGGTCCTGTTAGATGAACTGCAGTTTGGTGATTAATGCTGCTCAAGTATTTTTACAGTAGCTCAGGTTCTTTATGGGGAGATCCCATTTCTTGTGAGTGCTTCTCTTTAAGCTCTCCATAGCTCATAAAGAACAAGTGCCTTGTTAGTTCTGGTGGCTTGCCTACAGTGAAGCAGATTAAAGTAAATTAATTACTAACCATTGCAGAATGGGGCAGTTACTGTTCTAGATTATAATTTTTTTTGAAGTAATCATGAACATTTTTTATTATGTTATAGACATACTAGTTTGTTTCTTGATACAACTCAAAATGGAGCATTCATAGTGGCGTAACTTTCATCATGTAGAACTTTTTTC